AGGTCAGTTGTAGCTACCTCCACCAGAAGAATTTTAACTTCAAAGAAAGAATCATCAACGAGAACAATCCAAACTACGACTAACAAAATAACAACAGTGGCCGGTAATTTTTTCACCTAACTGAAAGAGTGCTGATGCTGATTTCGAATTCGATACTTGCGTCGAGTAAGAGATGAGTTCTCAGGAGGTAATTAGCAACTAGCTCCATCAGAATTCCAATTGTCGCATTAAAAGTAAGGATTTCTCACGTGAAGTTCGTTCCGGCACGATTCGACACAGCTCGTCAAACTCTATTTATATTGTGAAAACGAAGACTTTCAGTTTAAGACTCGAGGTTCCAGAAAAATTTTTCGTCGAGTAACGCTGTGACAGAAAAGGTCCCTATATTTTGAGAACTTCTGATTGAGAATCTCCGAATTGAGCTGTGCCTCTGAAAAGTTTCTGGAAGCAAGTTGGTCGAGGAGCTGACGGACTTTCTTTTGATAGAAAAAGCTTTTTCGAAACCCTTCCGCACGCCTAGAAAAGTCGATTTTGTAAAGGAACGCTGTAACATTTTTGGTATTGTGACACACTTTTTTGCCGCACCATTTTTAGGCACTAAACGTTCTTCAAAAAACTTCATACTTATAGTCTGTATAGTTGCAGGTTTCCTGAAAAGAGTCCAGTGTAAAATAAATTTTTATATTGAAAATTAGTTTCATTTTCTAAAACAAAAGTCCGATTCATGATCAGCATGAAAAGCTGAGTCTAGTGATGTGTCCCTATCGATTCTCCGACAAAAAATTCTATAAAATCTTGATCAGCCGGGTGTGGCGTTATGTATGAAATGCTGAAATGCATCTGAGCCGCAGTTACGAAGCTTAACTTCCCGGTTTACTGTTCCTCAGATTCGTATACTTTACACACACACAACATTTATCTTACACCTTACACAGATATTCTGACAGCTCTGACATCATTCGACTCAGTTTTCAACTCTGATTCCGAATATGATGCTTCAATTACATACAAGTTGAGTTCTGATGAAGAAAACAGTGAATTACGAGTCGAATTTTTACTTTTTCGCTCCCAATTTAGAAAAAATGTATTTCCTCAGTAGGAACGTAAAATGGAGAAAAAGACGATGCATACTTTTAAAGCTCGTACAATAGCAGTTCTAATGAAGTAAAACAGTCGGCTTCATCTCTTCACAAAAAAACTAGATAGATCTACAAAAAAAACATACCATTTTTAACGATCTGATCACCGAAGCCATGGTCAGTCGGATTTTGAGTATGAAGTCAAGTAAATATCAGTTTTATATTCAGATTTTAATGTTGAATCTGAAAAATATAGTCTGAAAGGTAGAAAAGAAGTATGAATGGAGAAAAATGAAAGGATGGGGGATAAGACCACGATAAGACCGGAAATCGATCTCCTCTCAAATCAGTCTTATGTTGCCTCATCTGATGCAGTTTTTCTCCAGCTGTAACCCCAACATACGTTTAGACCTTAGAAATTTCTTTCGGCGCCGATGAAAACGTTTTACCAAAAAAATATCTTCTCTCGATAGATAATCTTTACTAAAAGTATTTCAGCATTCTACTCCTTTTCTCTAGAGCAAATATCAAGTATTAAATACCGTTCGATAGAGAATTTAAAGGGCTTCACAATGAGCTGTAAATAAGTCTTTCAAAAATATGTCTGCATGGGTCAAAAGCCGAAAATACTTATCCGATATAATGATTTTGACCTATATTAGTGCTTTAAATACTCTTTTAGTCGTTTTTCTGCCATAATGAAACCTGATCTATTTCACAAAAACATACCATTGGATAGCCCTTGAAATTCTCTACAAAGTGAGCTGGTCAGGATATCGGAACAGATGGGGCCAGTCTTTAAGATATGGAAAAGAAGCGTTGGAGTGTTATCTATGCAGTACAGGATGTCATAATTACAAGAACTCCTTTGTTCCGAAAAAGGAAACATTCCAGTGAAAAAGCATGATAGACACCCGCGAGAGATCTTATTTTACTTTCAAATTCTGAGTAAACTAAGACCTCTCGTGGGTGTCTATCATGATTTTTCACTGGAATGTTTTAGTAAGTTTCGCGCTCTTTCTCACTGTAAAAAGTGTAAGGTAAATTAACATTATCTTCGGTTATGTTTTCATTATAACCTAAGCTAATACTACCCACTTTGTCTTTTTGGTAGTTTTATTCTTTGTATTAATGTTAATCTGCTCTATCGACACTTTTACTGTAAAAGTCAGCCTGAAAGAACACCTTGCTTTAATGTTAATTCAAACTAAATTCTTTACAATTTTCGTTTAGTGCGAACTCACATTAAAATAAAGATATTCGCCTATATTGACATTGAAGATTGGTTTCTATTTACATTAGAGCGAAGATATGACCCCTCAGATACGTGTGAATTTACCTTTTGAGGAAAGTATACATGAACGATAAAATGAGTTTACATTATACTGGATTATCTTTTCTTCTCTGATTTCGGTAGTTTTCTCATACGTAGTAATGTTAATGTGCTCGATCGCCATTTACTTTTTAAAAGTCAGTATGGAAAAACGCCTTACTTTAATGTTAATTCAAGCTTAAGTTCTTATAATGCCTTTGATATAAATTCACATTAGAATATAAACATTATATTATATATAATTAACATTAGAGACTCGTGTATTAGTTACGGTAGAGTACAGACATACATAGATAAATTCACATTCGAATTTGTTTTTTTTTTAAATTACTATTAGAGATTCGTGTATAATTACATTAGGGTAAAGACATACACGTGTAAATTCACACTAAAGAACGTGGACGTACTTTCTGACTTATATATAGAGAGAAAAAAATAGAAAAAATGTTTTATAAGAACAAGCATTACGTATGTTGTCTGTTTTATCAGTATGTTGCATCGGTACCAGTCATTAATTTATCAAATAGATTATATTCAATCAATAATTAATGTGTATAATATTTATATTATTATGTTAAAAATTGGTGTTTTATAATTGACATTTTCTGTTGTGTGAGCTTTTTTTCTAACATAATCACACGTACATTGATGAATTTCAGGCAATTATACCATATAAAAACTTCTTACAAGTGCGGCCGACTTTTGAGAAGGTTTTATGGGTGTTGATGCCACTAAGGATTTTCCTTCGAAAATAAATGACAAATTCTCTTCACTATAGACCGCCAGATATTTTTTTATTCCAATTCTCAGCTTTTTTTGTATCATGTCACTGATTTTTTAAACAAATTCGAAAAAAAAAATAAACATTGAACAATTATGAGCTTGATTTCAAAATTAAACAAATAAGGAAATAAATATATATAATGTGAACATACGCTACGGCCAGGCACATTCACACAAAACGAATACAAAATCTAGTGTAAATACATACAAGCAATAATTTTTTCTGTGAATTTTCAAAACATTGAGACAAAATGAATTTACACCAAGAAAGATTTTGGAAGATAAATCAACCGTATGCTTTAATGTGAATTAACACGATAGAAAAGTTTTTAAAGAAAATGTATACATAACCTAATATTTAGTGTAAACTTATCATAGTGGAAAATTCACACGAAGGTGGTAGGCTGCCCCTAAGATTTAATGTGAATTTTTTTAACAGTGTTCAATGTCTAAGACTGTTCTAAGGAAAAGTGCCTGGTAAAATCTCAGTGCTCAAAAATCGGTTTTCTAGAATCCCATTATGACGTAAGGGAGCCGAAAAAATTGCTGATACCGTTAGATTCAGCATGATCGAAAACGTCTAAGATCCAGCTTCAATATTAGAAACGGTAGTGTGTAAAAATTCGTCTCATTGCAGCTACCTCGACCAAGCGAATTTTAGCTTCAACAGAAACCTCATCAGCAACAACAGTTCAAACTACGACAAATGTAATAATTACAGTAGCAGGTAGATTTTACATCCAGTTGAAAGAGTGAAAGGCCCAAAAGTTTATATGTATTTATTGCTTTTGTCTTAAAATCCACAGCTACATTAGTTACGTCAACAGTTCAATTAACAACAACTACCACGATACGTATGCTCTTTCTTTCTTTTGGCATGTTTATTGGCTGCATGACGGCTGAGATTAGTTTCTTTGCTGACTTGCTTACCTGTTTAGCTATTAAGCGCAGAAAGCACACGCTACTGTTAAATGATATTTATGCACTGTTGCTCATTGCACGTCGGAACAAACGAAAGCTGCTCTGCTTTTTTCTGCTATGAAAAATTCAGGGGTAAATGAGACAAAAGGTTTCATGAATTTACGAAGGTATCAGCTAGGTATGAACTGTGGTACATGGAGAATCTGAGTAAGAATAACTTAGCACTCAAAGTTCGCGTCTCACTTCACGGATGAAAAGCAGTTGATTGGAAGAAGGATGAATACCCCCCCTTTTGGTTATCTTGCTGTATAGGGTGTTGTCCGGAGACAGTCCTGTAAGCCAGATATCTTCCCTACAACTAATATTGGCTGTAGCTCTGGACAGAAGGCCAGCCTGACTCAGAGTTCTTTCGCTCAATCGCTTGACCTTCCGCCGTACACACTGACTAATCACATACTAGTCACGAGGGCTGGTGTATGTCACAATGTAGTCAGCATGCTATCGGACAGGTGATCCGAGGCAAACAACCATTAATGACTTGCCCAGGGTCATTCCATGTCTGATGGTGCCGAGGCTCGAACACAGTACCTTGTGGGTACGTGGCAAACAACTTAACCACAAAGCCATAGCGGCTGCATTTGACCGATCGGACTCAGCTCGCTGTTTTTCATCACACGTTTGGTCTCTGCTAAAATATCTCTTATATACAGCTTTATGCTCTTAGTGGAGTAATTTGTTATTATGATTTAGTCGTTATTTAATTTGCCTTTGGATTAAGATGTACTGAATAATTGTGTGGTTTCACAAGCCCACACAAAGGTTATGATTATAATGCACATAAGAGATCATCTAACGAGAAGCGGTTTTCCGTTTTTGTTCTTTTTTCAACTACAGTTATTTCTACGATAATATGAGAAGACATTTACTCTTGCGAAGGGAAAGCATATAGTTGACCTCCCTTACATCAAACGAAAGTCTTTTGAATATACTTTTAGCTGACGTTGCTTTGAGAAGGAAAGGAACTAGCTGCCTAGAAAACGTTTCCCTTTAACGAATATCAATAGCTGTGGTTTAGGGATACGGACAGACTATTTGAAATACAAAGGTTATTTTGGATGGTAATGAGCGAGAGCATCGACTTTCATAACCGTGTATTTTGTAGTAACAACGACTGTTGCTGCTACAACCATACCAGCAACTAGCTTAAGTGCAGCTACCTCGACTACTGCAATTTTAACTTCAACAGAAACGTCATCGGGAGCAACAATTCAAACTACAACCAAGGTCGTAACAACTGTGGCAGGTAGATTTTGCACCTAGCTGAAAGAATGAAATACAAAATATGCATTTCTTTTGTGTTAGGATCAACTACAACAACCTCAGAACCAATTTCGTCAACAGCTCAAGCAACGTCAACAACAACCACAGCACCGATGACGTCAACAACTCAAGTAACATCAACAACAACCACAGCACCAATGACGTCAACACCTCAAGCAACGTCAACAACAACCACAGCACCAATGACGTCAACACCTCAAGCAACGTCAACAACAACCACAGCACCAATGACGTCAACAACAACCGGTTGTCCGGGTTGCTGTGGTGAAACTGTTGCTACTGGGTTGAATAATCCTGCCTTCGTAACTATAGATAGCACTGGAAATCTTTTCGTTTCTGATTCAGGAAATCTTCACATTACGAAATTTACATCTGGTTCAACAACGGGAACGGTCGTTTATGATGGTAGTGGTAGTAATGTCTCTCCTCAAGGTGTTTATATTGTTAGTGATGGAACGTTGTATTTTGCTGATAATAGTAATTCTGTTGTATTCAAATTAATTAATGCAACAGGAAATCCTACAATTGTTGCTGGTGAATTTGCTACACCTGGTAATCCACCATCTCTGTTTAATTATCCGTACGGTGTATATGCTGATAGTGGCACATTTTATGTTTCGGATGCTGTAACTGATGTAGTTGTAAAATTTTTCTCTAATTCAACCAACGGCACTGATGGAACCGTTGTTGCAGGTAAAATAATATATCACTTTAATCATTCACTCAACAGGCATGATATGCGATGGAGAAGAAAAACGTTTGTCTTCGTTCCGGAAAAGCACACCTATAATAGCATAAAATTCTCAATTGAACGATGTTGTAGAAAAATCAGAGAAAAATCATTTTTTCAATCTTTCAAGGGAGTGTTAGAAGCGAAACTATTACGAAAAAAATACAAATCAATATTTTACATTTTCTCTACCTGAACTATTAAAAATGTGGCATTTTAATCGACGTTTTTCTGTCGTTGTTTGGGCGAAAACGTGAAAAATTGGACGATTGTGCATTATAACTAACAACAGAACCTCCACAGATGTAAACTTCGATTTCAATGAACATTTGTCTATAGATGCTATATAGAGTGCTAGTAAGAATCCTAAAAGGATTTGAGTTCGTATTGCTTGTTTCAAAAGTTATGAATGTTTTATAACTTAGCAACGAATTGTGAGGGAAGGCTGAAATTTTCTGTGATTATAAATACAGAAAAAATGTTCATCCTTTCACATTGTGTTTTGACTGAGGTACCGAATTTTTAATAACTTCTGCTATGCGATGTATGGACAAAATAAAAACATTCATATCTCTTGAAACAAGCAGTACGAACCCAAATCCTTTCAGGGTTCTTACTAGGACTCTGTATAGTATCTATAGGCAAAAGATCATTGAAATCGGAGTTGGATATCTGGGAAGGTTCCCTCGTAAGTCTTTATTTCAAAAGCTATGTAGTCACTCCCTTTCCGAAATATGACCTTAAAAATGAAAGATCAGGGTCAAAATTAGAAAATACCTCAAAAAGTAGGAAAACTAGCCATTATTATGAGTATTTTTATGCCAAAACAAGCAGATATAAGCATAAGATAGCCATATTCGTAATCAGAGCAAAAAACTGCTCTGAATCTAATACTACGCTTTTTAACGTGAAACAGAAATACACTGCTTTCGAGCATGTGTACTGACAGTATACGAAGTTGGATATTTGAAGAAAATAAAATATATTGCCATACAGTCTAGAACATTCTAAAATCTTTCAGTTGAACGTAGAACTAAGAAACCATAAGAATGAGCGATGTGCAGACTAACTAGTTCATATTTTATTATACTTTCTTAAACGTCTCTAGAAATGTCTCTTGAAAGAATGTCATTTCCCGTATCAATTAACTCAGTTTTACAATATTTTGAACTTTTAGGCAGTTCGGGTAACTCAGCTATACTTAGTGGACCAGCTGGTATCTATGTTGTTAGTAGTTCAGGAAATCTTTATGTAGCTGATAATAATAATGACCGTGTGGTACGATGGTTACCGGGTGCAGATCCCAGTACTGGTGGTGTAGTTATCGCTAGTAATACTCTGGGTAATGTAAATGGTGTTATCGTTACTGCAAACGAACAAACACTGTTTGTAACTGATAACAGTAAGCTAAATATAAAATAAATAAAGTACTGAACTTTTAATCTAATCATACTTCAACTTTCTGTTGTTTTTATAGCAGCCAACTCTGTTAAAAAGTTTACCGTTGGTGTTGACACTGCTACGATATTCGCTGGAAATGGAACAGCAGGTTCTGGTGTTTACCAGCTCTATGCCCCAATAGGTTTAGCTTTGGATTCAACTGAGCAATATTTATACGTAGTCGATTCGGGCAATGGCAGAGTTCAAAGATTTTATATTCCAAGTTGTTAAAGAATTATTTTACCTAGTTTACTACAGTGGTAGTAGTCATTGGGAAGCAAACATTAAACCTTATTTTCTAATTTTCGTTTAAAAATAATCTTTTGTTTTATTGAATATTAAAGATGTCCGCTACACGCCTAAAAATGTGGTACGCAAAATAATAAGGAAACGTTGGCTTAACTACTGCTTGAAACAAAGTAAATGTTTTACAAATTTAATTATATTTTAATTTTAAAAACAATTTTATGAACACTCTTTGATCATTGAAACCAATTTCCAAGTTCTCATATCATCAAAGAAACCTTTTCTGAGAAAAAAATCAAACAAACTCTCGGAACTATGCCTGCTGAAAAATAGATACGAACACTCAGAGTACACGTAAAAGGTTTTCTTGACAGTCAGCCAGGCTGTTTTTAACTCCAAAAATGCCTGTCTATGTCATAGTTTATACGCAGTCCATGTGGCTTATCGAGAGTGAAAAGAAATAAAAAAGCTTGCCTTTTAGCTGTGGTTGCTAAAGATCTCTCTCATACACACAAGGACTGTTTTTAATGAATTTTGGTGAGAATAATTGAATTAAGTGTGCCATCTGCTCGGACCAGGTTAGAACTATTGCTTAATTATATTCCAGACAGGCATGCACATATTACGATTAATTGGAGGGGTAATTAATCGTCAAACCGACTAACCGGTTGACCGATTAATTGAAAACAACAGAATTTGGTTTTCAATGTAAAAATTTCTTTCATGCTATGCGGCTGATTTTTGGTTCTGCTGCAGTGTGGTATTTATCCGCTAACTGTAGCTGTGAAGTAGTTGGAAAAACTGAATTTAGAAGCCACCCTGTAACAAATGTTTCGGTACTGGAAGTTGAGTTCCATAACGCCTTAGGAACGGTCAACATTCCGGAAGATCTTCAGAAGGTTTATGGAAAATATTTCGTTTTTACAGATTTTTAAGTAAGGTGCACGTAAAGCAAATTTCGAGCACTTTTTGGTTTTCGCTAAAAGGTACACCATCCGATGCAGAATTTGATGCTGATCACGAATATCACCTTGAAAGTTCAAAAATGT